TAGGGTGCGTTAGGGATCCTAATACCTTCCCTAACCACAATCGGTCCCTTACTCGCGAATCTCTGACAAGACCAGTACAACCGGGTTTCCTAGTAACCTTCAATTAAATACTAGGTGGCGACTCCTAACGAATCCAACAAGATCAAATCAAATAATAACGATGAAAAATCATCAGAGTCGACGCCGCGCGGATTTTTTTTGACGTGCGGCAGTCATCATAGCCCAAGCATGGCTGAATCCGCCACACTCTTGAATTCAAACATAATACATAAATTTAACGCCATTAATTGTATAAATTCTTACATAAAATCTTAAAGAATTTATTTATCAACAAATAAACGTAAATAAACAAGTTTACATTCTACTAACATTATTAGGTGAATTAAAGTTTTTTATGGCCTGCCATATTTTTATATTTTTGCTTGATAAAATGCATTGAAAATAGCTCACAATAAACTTTAAATATCTTGAAGGTAAAATTACACTCAGTCTCTAATCTCCACAAAAAAAAAAAAAGACTTATGAACTATAAATACACCATAAGACTTTCAAAACAAAGGTTAACAATTTTTATTTTATATTGCATATATATTTTTAGAGCGTCTCTCTTTAGATATTATTATATTTTCTATCTCTATAAAAATACTTATTTAAATATTTAAATATTGTAGGGTCTTTGCCATTACCAAATAAGATATTTTACTGATACTAGTTATAAATCACTTTGACCTATCAAACTCTAAATATAAGCTATTAGCTATCTTAGCTTATCAAGTTTCAAGTATAAGTTATCAAGCATGTGTAAAGATAACTAATGAAATTATTAGTATCAATTAATTAATCACTTATCCCACCTGGGAATTGTTACTAGGTTACTTAGATTTTTGAAATTTCGTCAAAAGCTGTTATCTTAATTTAATTAAATTACAGAAAATTTACTATACTTCATTATACAACATGTAAGTGTACATGAGTGTGACTTGAGATACCAACTCTCTTGCTCGTGTAAGAGTACAGCCGAATTGCAAGCTAATTGGTTGAGGTTTAGGCACGAAGAGAGGTGAATCTGGAAACATGCTAAGCTTCCATAAAGCTACAACTTATTCAAACGAGCTACAACATACCTTCTTGCCTGTACAAACGGAATTGAAAATTTTCTTGACATAATTGAGGGTTGAGACTGATTCATAAAGCAACCATGCTGACAAGACGATCGCTCCAGTTTTAAATACTATCAGTGTAGTTCTGAATCTCAAATGATATCACAGTCTGAGAATGAGTCATTGGCTGACCTTCTTTCTTGCCAAAAGATTGTGATGATTCGCCTAACAAGTAGTCCGTCTCTTCGCTATTTTGCTGAGCCCATGATTTCTGATGAAGATCTTTCAGCTTAGAAAGCTCATCAGACACTTCTTTCATGGTCGGCCGGTTTACTCCCATGCTATTCAGACATCCTTTTGCAAGCTCAGCTACAGCTTCTATCTCATCCATTTCGCCTTCATCAGCTGCCTGGAAATCCAAAATTCTGAAAAGATTGTTAGTTTCCAGTGCTGAGATAAAGTGTTGAATCAGGTTCCGTTTCTCTCCAGAACTGGAACTGGAGTTTGGCTTTTCTCCCGTGAGAAGCTCCACAAGAACTACCCCAAAGCTGAAGACATCGCTCCTTGCGGTTAAAATACCCGTCATGAGATACTCTGGATCCAGGTAGCCTCAAGTCCCTTGTATTTTTGTGGCTATAATGGTTTGGTCTGAAGAAATCAGCACTGAAGCTCCAAAATCTGCAACCTTTGCTGTGTAGTTGTTGTCTAAAAGTATGTTCACGGACTTGACATCTCCATGAATAATCGGAGGGTCTGCAAGAGAATGCAGGTAATTAAGCGCAAGGGCAATCTCTGATGCTATCCTCAGACGATTGCTCCAGGAAGCTAGTAACTGCGACGTTTTGTCATGTATGTGCTTGAAAAGAGTTCCGTTTGAAATGAACTCATAAACTAACAATGGCACTTTGGTCTCCAAACACAGGCCCAAGAGCTTCACCACGTTCTTGTGATTGACCTGTGAGACAACGCCCATTTCCTTTTGAAATTCCTCATTCATCTGAGCCTTGTCTACCCCTTTAAACTTCTTGACTGCAACTTGGACATCGTCTGCTAGAACTCCTCTGTAAACAGAACCAAAACCACCTTCTCCAAGTTTCTGATCATCATCATAATTTTTTGTTGCCTTTTCCAGCTCCGCCTCGCTGAAAATCCTAACTCGTTGGTTCTTCAAAACCATTCCCCCGTTCTCCCTGAAGTTTCTATCCTTTTTCCTTTTCTCGCACATCAGGTACAGTAGAACACAAATGATCACAAGCAAAATGGCTGCTCCAATAGCTGCGCATACCAATGTCAAAGAAAAATGTTACTTGAGACACACATCAATAGAAAATATTTCTTTACCAACCTTTTACAAGTGACATATATATATATTACCATTATAATCCTTCTGTAGAACATGAGTATCTGAATTCGATTTTTCTTACAGTCCTCGGATTAATTTTTGTACGCACTAAAATTTAATACCCTTTTCTGATCCACTTAAAGGCAGGCAATATGTTGGGATTAGGAGATTCATGGATCTTGATTATATATGCGGATCTTGATTATATATGCTAGCCTTTTAAAATATATACTTGCGCAAAAATTATCCAAGAAAAAAAAAACAGCGAATGAAAAATTATATATGCTAGTAACAAACCGACTAAAAGCATTTAGTCCATATATATTTATATTATTCTTCAATATAAGTTGTACATTTTTAAAATCCAACCCAATCACGTTGGTTGGCTTATTGATCTATATGATTTGAAATATAAACTAAACTGAGTTTCAATAAAAATAAGAAAAAAATTGATTTAGCATTGTCTAATTAAAAATTCAAGTTAACTTAAATTTGAGTCAATTTACTGATTAACTTTAATTTTTTAAAATAATAACATTATTATTTTTTTATAAAATTTTAAAAAATAAATTAATTCAGATTAAATCGTATGAACCCACCAAACCATAACTTATCCTAACTCAGCCCTAAATCAAGTTTAAAAACGGCTCAAGAAACTTAATATATATAGATCTGTTATTATTTTATGCTTAATCATGGAATGAAGATTGAAATTGGTGGATGTTTAGTACTTAAATACTTAGATGCTACATCATATAACCATTTTAATTAAAAATCTCAAACTGTTAAAAGAATTTTCAAAAATAAATTTATATTACTCTGTAGGCTAATTGCTTATATAGCTACAACTCGGGAATTATAGGCAATGCAAGTAATGGCTGCAACGCTTCAAGACGGAGAAACTCATTATAACAAGATTAATTCCAAGGTCACTTACGTACCAGTAATTAGTGTGATGATACCAAATCCTTGACAGCCTACTTTACCATCACCATACATACCAAGTGGACATCGACACTTGTAATTCCCAATGGTGTTCTTGCATCTACCATGACATGGATATCTTTCTGGATCCTTGCACTCATCGATATCTAAATGTTAAAAAAAGTAGTGAGTAAAATCTGATTATAAATTCAAAAAATAAATTATATAAAAAATAAATCGTGCAATCCAATTAATTGGGTATGATTAGGCAATGAAAGATTTGCATGTATATTAACCAATTGGTCTAGCATGAAACTCAGGTAGTGCTTAAGTTGACTTGTTTAATAAAAAACACTAATCATGAGTTGAAAATTTTAAGCAAGCTCAAATTTCAAGCTAGGCCATAGGATTTCTTTTTTAATTTTTTTTATTATACATGAGGAGAGACAAACAGGGAAAGAACATAACCTGCAAAAGCATATATAAAAGGTACTAATATTGGAAATCATACCAAAAATCAATAACCAGTTTACCTTGGCATCCTTCTTCGAGATAGGGATTTCCTTCGAACCCTTCATTGCATAAGCAACGATATCCTTGACCACTCTCAGGGTAGGTGCAATTTGCATTAGCGCCACAAGCATATGCACTTGCATTAGCTTTAGCCTGTTCGCACGTCTCATTTTTAACTACCCATTCAATCACAATATCTGTTGTATATGCATCTTTTCCATATTTTGGCTTGCGAGAGAGCGGCCAATCTGAAATCTTCAAGGAGTTCTTGTCCACTAAAAAAGCAAATCCACAGAGATTGAAGTCCGAAACGTTCGTGTAGTTGTAAAAACTAAATAATGAAATATCAAGTGATTTGAGGCCCTTAGGGATTGAGCTCTGGCAGCATCCAGAACCTGAGCAAGGATTTCCATCGGACATGTTCACATATTCTGTGCACAAGGAGAGACAGGCGGCTCCAAATGTCAACTCATAGTTGGTCACCTGGGCAAAGGTATCGCAACCAATAGCTGTGAATATATTTCGGAGGTGTGAGAACATGAAGGGGCCTGATCCAAGGGTCATAGACTGTCGGAAATAGTCTGTCTGTATCCCTGCTTTGTTATAGCATTTGAATGCTGCATCAATGCCTAGAGTTACTGTGCCCTCCAGCTGTGATATATCCTGAATAGCCATGCCTGTTCCAAACCACAGTTCAGGATGACCTTCATCGTTAGAACTGCAGTTTAGGAAGAAGAAGTCGTTCATGGCACAACTTCGTTCGAAAATCCCAAACGGGTAAGGAACCCTAACATTCCCACACGCTTCTAGGCAGCCAGGCTTCACATCTGACCTAGTTGTAGCTGCCACTGGCCACAATAATAGTAACATCATCAGCCAAGACACCAACATGATCTGCAGGGTCATTTTTTATGCTCTACTCAGCTTGTGTGGCTTAGAAAACTATCTCCCTCTAATTTGTGTGGCCTTTTATCCTGGTAGAGAGTTTATACTGCTATGGGAAACTATCCAATTCATGAGCATGACGAATGCCAATTCTAAAAACAGAATAAAACATAACAAATGGAGAGCGTGCTCGGTACGCCGATGAAGACTTAACTACCCACTGGAACTATTGTTCAACGTATCCTCCCTTTTTTTTTTCCTTTCTTCTCCGTCATAAAAAAGAAAAATGACTTGTATATATAATGAAATCCATCTGACGATGAAAATTCGCCTCCTTCTAATCTGTGTTCTGTCTCGTCTGATCAGTAGATAATTTGTTCTGACCCAATCTTGACAACAACGTAGTCAGCTCCTTCGAAATTCAATGAAAAATAAAAGATTTGCTTCTAATTATATATTAACATGTGAGTTTGTTGTGCAAATCAGCTGCCAAGTCAACTACATCAGCATAAACCACTTGCGAAGTTGCTTGCCCCTTGGCTATAGGCACGCATTAGTTTTGAGCTTTGTTCAAATAATCCTTTAAACCTAACAAGCCTAACATTACAAAGCACCATTAATCACGTTACAAATATTCATTTAAGCTCGAGATCTCTTATTAAGAAAAATAGATGTTATCAAAACACCATAATATTTAACATCATAAGGGAATTTAGATTTATTGACTAGGGATATTATCTAATTTTATTGATCTAGTTTGCATTTGAAATCAATTTTATCGCGTGTTTAAATATGTTTAGGCGTTTCGAAGATATTATATATAATTTTTTTTATAATGAAAGTGATTGAATTCACTAAGATTATGAGCGGTTATTATAAAATATATCCTTAAAAATATCTATATATGAATATTATAGTAAAAGATGCCTTGGAAGGGAAGTATTTGAGTTTTGCAAATGGTGTGATGGATTAGTTCATGTTCGAATTATCTGGGTTAATTTAATGTATTTGCTTTGTGCATTGTGTTATGAGTTACGCAAATGATGTGATGAGTTTTTTTTTTAAAATAATAATAATCAATGCGTGTTTGATGATTAATATTGTTCCTGAGTGTATTTATTTTGATTACTCACCGAGACATCAAAACATGTTCTTTTCCTTAATTATTTTTATTTTAGGCGTATAGATCTTAAAACCATGACATGGCAAAAATACAATAATAGCAATTAAACATGATCATTTTTTATGCACTGCCCAACTTGTATGACATAGAAATACTACTTCCCTCTCTAATCTGTGTGGCCTTATTACATGGTCGAGAATTAATTTATACTCCTACGTAAACCATTCAATCCATGAGCATGAGGAATGCATATTAATATATATATATATGTGGAGAGCAGACTCGGTCGATCAATGAAGCCTTAGCAGCCCTCTGCAACAATTTTTAAACATCTTCTCTTTTTTTATTATTTTTTTTCTTTCAGGACTGTAATTAACTTATCATAAAAAAAAATATGTGAGATTGAAGTATATGTCAGCTGCCAAGTTGACTAGATATACAAGCATTAACTACTTGTAAAGTCCATGAAAAAACAATTGCCTTTGTATATATATTTTCCCTCGGGCTATAGCATGCATTATAAGTTTTAAGCTTTGTTGAGTTGATCATTTAAGATTTAATAAACCTTATATTAACTCTGTTGGTGGGAGAAACCACTTGTGGTGGCTTTAAAACACTCAGAGGGGATAAAACACACTTTTTTATTTCAAGAACAAAGTTTACAATAACATAAACAAAAGCTTACAACAACCCCTCTCTCTTTCTCTCTTTCTCTCTTTCTCTCTAGTGTTTCTCTCAATCTCTCCACACATAATTGCATAAGCTTAGCTATCTATTTATACACGAAATCAAAACAAGAAAATTCAACCTTCAAGTGTGAAGGCGGTTTTTGGCCGACGGTGTGAAAGCGGCCGGCGGCCGGTGGCTGGCGGCTGGCGGC